TTTTTAAAATATAATGAAGTCCCATCTGAAAATCAATTTGGTTTTACGGAGGGCCTTGGCACAGTGGCGTAACTTCAAATCCGGGCCCCCCCCGCAAGGATTTTCCCGGGCCCATCTTTTATATACATATATTTTTCTAAATTTTTCTTTATACAGGGTGTCCGTTTTAAATGATAGCACTATTGATATCTCCGAAACGGTAAGAGGGGCGAGGTCGGTTAAATTAGATAAAAGTGGCAAATTTTAGAATTCATTGAAGGTAAGTTCACAGGGTTGCCAAATCTTTGTACGTTTCCGAGATATAAGGGAAATGAAAAGAACATTTAAAACTTATTTAATAAATACCTATTTCAAAAATTTATCAATTTTAGAAAACAGTGTTCAATGCAAAAGTTCAAAGATTCTTTCTTCTCTACAAAATGGTGTTAGTTATCTTCACCTTCACACAGCTTCTAGTTGTGTTTACATTCTACCTCAGAGGCTTTATATCTCGGAAACAAATTAAAAATTGGCAACCCTGTAAACTTACCTCCAATGGATATTAAAATCTGCCATTTTTATTTACTTTACCCGACCTCATACCTCCTGTTTCAGAGATAGCAATAGTGGTATCACTTAAAACGGACAGATAATTTGGCATCTGTGAGTATGTCTGAATATTTCTCTCTGAGATTTTTTACATTGGTTAGCCAAGACATACTTTTTCAATGGTTGATATGTATTATGAGGTTCATATGTTGTAGCATTTTCTTTTAGTTTAGTAATACTCTTGTCACTTGTTTAGTACTTTCGCCTGGTCTGGTGCCCCGCGGGGCCCCCAGGATCATGGGGCTCCCCGCAACTGCGGGCCGCGGGCCCTGCGGGCTCTTAGTTACGCCACTGCCTTGGCACTAGTGATGCTCTTTTAAATTTAACAAAAAAGAAAAAGCAAAACCTGGACTGGACAGTAATAGAAGGTGTTAGGCAGTGGTTTTAGATCTAACAAAGGCTTTCGACACAGTGCCCCATAAAAGGCTTCTTGAAGTCCTTGAACGGAGTGGCGTAAGAGGCGCTGTGTTTGAAAACTACGTAGACATACAACAACAAGTAATAAGAATTCGGAACACCTTCAGTGACCCCCGCTTTATAAAGATTGGAATCCCACAAGGAACTGGGTCCCATTCTTTTTAACTTGTATATTAAATAAATGACTGACCTGGAGACCTGGAAATAAACGGAATAATTTTCTCATACGCTGGCGATACGGTTCTACGGTTGTACTTTTTGATGGATTTACCTGGCAGCAAACTAGAGAAAACGCACAGGGTGATTTTGGGCTAATGTAGGCTAAGCAATGAAGGAAGTTTACCTCAACATAATTAGAAGTTAACATTTTTTTGGGGGGATCGGTCCATTTTCATGTGCTGAATAACATATTAAGTTTGCGACCTTGAACTTCCATAGGGTTTTTAGTTAGGGGTGGTTTTTAGGGGTAATTTGCGGTTTATGGAGAACGCTGCTCAAAGGGATGGTCCAATAACAAAAAGTTTCAAATGATTGTTGTAGCTGAAGTTTTTTGCTATATAAAACTCCGCGACAGCACCCCTTTATCTTCTATAGTCTTTTTTCTGCAGCGTCTTGAATAGTAGCATGTTTTAGTTCAAGGTCACTGAATCAACGTCTGGCCTGTTTACGCGCATTTGATGCAGTAGCGACCGAATCATAATCCGATTTCAATTTTTCAAACACCACATTATTCCTAATGAAATGCACTCTCCAATGCTTTTTTGTTTGAATTTTTTGCTTGAAAATTAAGCGAGCACGGACTTGCCTAATGTGCGAGAAAGTTGTAAATTGCATCGAAAACTACCCCTTTCTTGCATTCACTGTAATTTCTAAACAGGGCCAAATATTTGATGACAGTTTTCGACAATCGGCAGCTCATTTATTCCTCTCATAATACCCCAGCGGATTTTTTTTTTCGTTAATTACTCAATGACTTATTGGCTAGAACATGTCGCGCGGAATTTTTCAAAAAGTCAAAAAAAATTAAAATTGTCGTACAGCGCTGAAATTTAGTACGATAGCTGTATTTATTGTTCTCATGAATATACTGCAATTTTAATTGTTGCAGCAGTCATGCGATGCAATTAAAATGGCAGTATATTCATAAGAACAATAAATAAAGCCATCGTACCAAATTTCAGCGCTGTGCGACAATTTTAATTTTTTCTGACTTCCGCGCGGCGTGTTCAGCGCAATAAGTCATTGAGTAATTAACGAAAAAAAAAATCCACTGGGGTATTATGAGAGGAATAAATGGGCTGCCGATTGTCGAAAACTGTCACCAAATATTTGGCCCTGTTTAGAAATTACAGTGAATGCAAGAAAGGGGTAGTTTTCGATGCAATTTACAACTTCCTCGCACATTAGGCAAGTCCGTGCTCGCTTAATTTTCAAGCAAAAAAATTCGAACAAAAAAGCATTGGAGAGTGCATTTCATTAGCAATAATGTGGTGTTTGAAAAATTAAAATCGGATTATGCAGTCGACCGCTACTGCATCAAATGCGCGTTAATAGGCCAAACATTGATTCAGTAACCTTGAACAAAAACATGCTACTATTCAAGACGCTGCAGAAAAAAAAACTATAGAAGATGAAGAGGTGCTGTCGCGGAGTTTTATATAGCAAAAAACTTCAGCTACAACAATCATTTGAAACTTTTTGTTATTGGACCATCCCTTCGAGCAGCGTTCTCCATAAACCGCAAATTACCCCTAAAAAACACCCCTAACTAAAAACCCTATGGAAGTACAAGGTAGCAAACTTAATATGTTATTTGGCATATTAGAATGGACCGATCCCCCAAAAAAAAAAAATTAACTTCTAATTATATTGACGTAAACCCTCTTTTCAGATCCCCGTTTCTTGGACTAATGAAGGAATTGCTTGATGGGTAAAAGTTATCCTTGAATATAAGAAAACAACTATATTGCCTTCACTAAAACGGAAGTAAACCATCTATCATTTTATTTTATTAAAATCAATAATTCAACAGGAAAAATATATGAGGTTACTAACACTAAGTACCTTAAGATTGTTATTGACAAGTAGGTACCTTGAATGGGACTTACATAGTACATACCTAACTCAAAAATTAAAATACCTAATTTACAAATTTTGTACGAAGAGACAAATGCTTGGTACAAGTATCAAGTATCTCAATAACCTTGTATCACAGTTTGATAGAGTCAATCCTAAGACACCTAAGATATGGAATACTGGTTTGCTATAATATGTATGATAACTCATTCAGACCTCTTGAGGTTATTATACTTAACAGCATATTGAAGTGTAACGGCCGCCAGTGTGCCAGTAGATTCTCAAATTATTCACGATAACGCACTTTCTATAACTATGTATAAACTTATTCGGAAAATATTTGGGACGCCTATGGCGAGTCGATCATGACATTGATTTACAAACTGTCTCGCATTCCCAAATAGACTATAGTAAACCGTTCCAAGGTTGCACAAAAAAGAGTTTCTCGACATCAGGGGCAGAGCTTTGAGTACCTAACTTGGAAAACAGATATCTACATTACGATATTCAGTTGTAGAGCGTTGTAGTTTCTCACGGAAAGTCACTCACTATACGTTAGTTCTTCAAAAATAAGGTATTATTTATTTGTAATTAGTTACTTTAGGAGTATTTTAGATACTGGCACTGCCAACATGAATAGTTAAATCGAAAGTATATTTATTTACTGTACTTTTTTCTTTGTGGCAAGGAAATAGAAAATTCAGATAAGTTTTGATACCTGTAGCCTAATAACTGATTAGGTTAGCAGATTAGCAAAATAGGAAACTTGCAAGTAAACTAAAATTTTCCAAATTTGTTTTAAATCGATAGTTTATATGCTGCACAATATTTATATGAGCAGTTTTCATTTCATTGACACAGCCCTTGTTACAAAAAAGTTATATAAATTTGAAATAAAAAATTTCCCGCCAAAACAATGGGTGGTGTGAATAAAAACGAAGTACCTAACCTACTACTATTACAAGTATTAGTATATTCTACGAAGTATTTACTTCAAAAAAAAAAAGGATTTAATAATTTCCGGTAAATGTTGAAATAAAGTTTTGAAGTAAATACTACGGAGAATCTACTAATTCTTGTAGTAGTAGCAGATACTTCGTTTTTATTCATACCACCCAATACTTCCATGAATGGCTACCTTTTTTGACGTCACAATTCTGTAAACAAACCTGTCGATAGAACTTGCAAGTGAAATAAAATTTACAAAACCAGTCGTCTACAATAGTCTTTATTCATTGCGACAATTTTTACAAAAAGCAAACTTTAACATACTTACTTGAATAACACAAAAATAGCAGTGCGTCAGCAGGAGTTCGTTTGCTGTGTTTGTTGTTTACAAAATCTTGATATCACGAGCGCTGTCATATTGAAATTTCGCGTTTCCGCGCCATAGTTTTTGATTTGAATTTCAATAAATTCATGAAACAAAGCTTTAATGATCAAAATATTTACATGGTTAATAAGAACAAGAACAAGAGAGCTTTGAGTCTCTTATCATATGGAGTAGTAGTAAAATAAAAATGTTGCAAATCTATAAAAAGATCTAATAAAAGCGAACTAATTATTACATTGAAATAATTACATATTTCAACAATCGAAAAATAGAAACTGATATGATTGCGGCATGTGCGTGAAATCATCTACAAACAAATAATGCTCCACTAGGTCTCGAAGATTTACATAACTAGTTTGCTAATTGTTTAAAACTGTAACAGGTGAATAAATAGACTAGTTTAAGTGACATTCCCACAAAGGAAACAAGTGCATGTTGCAATTTCATCTCCTTAATTAGACGTTAATTATATTGTCGTTATACAGAAAAGAAGATGTTATAGCTTGTAGTTAAAATACAATATGGTCTTTAAAAACTACTAAAAAATACATTTAGCATGGGAAAAAATTTGCGTGCTTTCACTCACCAGTAAATAGTTGTTTGGTGCAAACTTTCCCGCAAGGACTCTTGCAGCAAACTGCGTCCGGGGAACAATCATCGTCTTCCTGACATTGTTCGGCTCTGAATGGACATTCGGTTAGCATTGGACATTTTGAAGCTGATACTGTATCTAAATCTGAAACAAACAAATAATCAATAAACCTTCAATTAAACATGCAACTTCCTATTTTAGATTATTCAAATTGAAAGGATGTTTCATTATATCTGTAGTGAGTAGGCACTTTTAAATCTTGAATGGATCCATGGTAAAATGCGATTAAATTTATTATGGTACTTTTGTTGTTATTTATTTGAAGTGGAAGTTTTTAATTTTTTTAACCTATTAATAAAATAGTTGTTCTATTTTAAAATGGAGTAGTTATAACGTCATACACAGTTTGATCATAACAAATCATTTCTAAAAATGAGAAACAGTGTTGGGGACAGAATCTAGCCTTGGGGAACGCCGGCATTTATAAACGACACACCATCGACCACAAAATCACCTGCCTTCTAAAAAGCTCCCCAGCCAATGGCAAAATTCGTTTGGAAGACCAAACGATGGAAGTTTGTTGAGGAGACTTTTGTGCCACACATAATCAAAAGCCTTGGAGATGTCCAATGTTACGATTTTGGATTCGCCATGTTTTCGAGAGTCGTGCTCCATATGACTGACGTACGTCAGCAGATCCCCTGTTGATATTTTAGAACAAAACCCATACCACAGATAGTTTATCAGAGATGAGCTCATTAGCTTTGAGGTATTCAACCAGTTTCAGGTTGACTGGTCTTTTCCATTACTTTCGAAAGTACGGATATATAAGTGAAATGGGACGATAATTGCTATAGGGAGAATTTTCTTGCCCTTTTTCGGAATGGGCTACACTCTGCTACATTTCCAGATAGACGAGAAATCACCTCGATTGTAAGAGAGTGAAAACAGTTTGTAAAGAACTGAAGCCAATTCTTGTGCGCGATTTTTTAGGATGATTCGTGAAATGCCGTCGAGACAACAAGATTTTCCAATGTCAAGTTGCAAAAGAATTTATTTTCCTAATAGTTTTAGGACTTGATACACGATACGTTGTTCATGTAAGAACCAATGTGTGGCAGTACCTGTGGCGCTCTGCCATTTTCCTTTATCGTGGAATTTGGAATTGGATGCAAATTATTTGGCAAAGAGATCTGCTTTTTCCTTTGATAATAATACTACATTGAAATTTTTGTGGTGAAAAGGAAGAAGATGGTATATTTTTTCCTATGGTGTTGGCAAAGGACCAAAAGGATCTTGATACACTTGGGCACTCCAAAAGTCGATGACGCATTTGTTGGTCGTGTAACTTCTTAACTCGTTGGTTATAAGGTTGCAATGGAGTTTCTTCGCATTGGTTTCTATGCCAGCACGAAATGCGGTATTCCTTTTCGCAACCGCTGGAACACACTGCTGGTTAAATGAGGGTTGGCCGGCACGGGTTGTTTTATTCGGGTGTGGAATGTATAATTTCATACCTATGGAAATTTATCCGGTAACCTCTTGTGTTTTCGGCCTCTCCAGTCTGCATTACCATAATACCACATCCTACGAGGTATTGGAGCAGGAGCTCGCCTTCTGGGCATTATAATCTGCATAACGCCCTTGCTACATAAATAGCTATTACAGCAGTAGGGAATTCATCAACTTCCAGCATCAGTCGTTTACTCATTTATTATTTGACATTTCCCAATCGCCAATCCAAGGTCAATGCACTTCACCATCCACCTGCTAAACAACAACCAAGCAACCAAAAATTGCCAACTCATCAACCAAAACTCATTTCACTCCTGAATCAAGATACTCCAAATTTGAACAAATTAATGGCGGGGGGGCGATACTCGTCTCAGGAAGAAGAGCTCCTCGAGAGAACAAATTTTTTGTCTTTATCATTCTCATTTACTTTTCGATTAAGTTGACAAGGACAAAACATTCGTTCTATCACGAAGCTCTACTCTCTATAAGACAGGAATCGGTCCCCTGTATAACATTGCAAATGTCACGGATATGAGTTGGTTAATAATCACGACAAAGAGGAAATGTAATCTGATTTTGAGTTGGTCAAGAATGATTATTCTATTCTCATGCCAAAACTCAAAGAAGCCAAAAGAATAACTTTTAATTTTTGACAAAAACATCTACCCTTTTGTGACATCATGCCTCAAATATGATTTGATTTAAGTGCCGACAATTATTTATTGGACCGTAGACCTAAATACGCTAGGCCTGAAAATGAGGGTAAATTTTTGTCCTGAAATGGCATGTTTTATTACGTAAAAATGTCCTTGTTTCTTAAATTAGAATCCATCCAAAAAAATTAACGAGATTCATAAGAAAGCTCTGGTTATTTTTATCCAGTGAGATGGTACCTACCTACTAACCCTTAATCAAATCAAATATAGCATTATTGTCCAAAGAATAGGTACATAATAATTCTCATTCACAAAGCTGGGACAAGAAAGTTAAATATTAGGAATAAATTCAGTAGGTACTATGCAATTCAATGAAGAAGATGCAGATAATGCAAGCCAGGTAAACTTTGGCCAGGATTAGAATTACCAATAACCTCGGTCACAAAACAAGGCTTGCATGATTGCCTAGGATTAGACCCATACAGATACCTCAATTTAGGCTCCTCAATGCTTTCTTTTGGATAACGAAGACCTGTCGAAAAAGGTTTGCCGTACAAGAGTCCCAAAAACAGATGCCATATCAGATCGCTCTCCACAAGAGAGAAACACACACAACATTCATTCAACACTACCTATATTCAATACTGGAGAGTTCTTTAGTTAGTTGGCCAGTTTCACCAGCAGGTACTGAGGTCCCATACGGGAAGCTATAGTTGTTTTTGAGCCAATATCTCTAGATTGATTATTTCAATTTGTTTGCTAGGATATTCGCTCGTTAGGGTAGGAAAATGTTAGTGAATTCAACAAGGCCCTAATGCACGCTCTGAATCCAAAATCAAAATTTCAGAGCAAAAGACAGCACATAATTTCTTTAGGTTTTTTTAATTTACTCTTTATCTGGGTTGTTTACAGCATGAAACGATTTTTGTTAAATACATGAAAATGCACATGTTATACAAAATGTTATAAACAAACAAAAAAACATAAAAATAAAAAAATAATACTTGCATAAATTGAACTGTTAAAAACAAAATAACAATTAATCAACTGACCCGTGAGTGCTCCTTTATGACACACAAAGTAATCACAAATTGGATTGAACAATCAGTTTAATACAAAATAAAAATAAAAATTGAATAATTATATATATCCTAATTAACAAATTGCAGCATTATGGAATTCGAGGCTCTCCTCTGGAATGGTTCAAGTCGTATCTTAACAACAGAAAACAGCTTGTGAGGGTTGATACGACGACATCTTCATGCAAGCCAATAGAATGTGGAGTGCCACAGGGTTCCGTGTTGGGTCCAATATTATTTTTGCTGTTTATCAACGATATTGCTAGTCTAGACATCAGCGGTAAAATCTGTCTTTTTGCTGATGATACTAGTTTCACTTGGAGCAACCCGGATATTGTAGCTCTTCATAGAACCATGTCCATCGACTTGTTGGCTATTAAAACATGGTGCGACTCTAACTTCCTCTGCTTCAACGCTGCGAAAACAAAAGTTCTATCATATAGAAGTACGATGCAACCTATTGTACTTAATAACACTACTACTATTGACGTCGTTGATTCCGTAAAGTTTTTGGGCCTTATTATAGACAAATCCCTAAAATGGAATTCGCACATCGATTCTTTATCAAAAAAATTAAGTTCCGCTTGCTTTGCGATAAGATCAGTTTCCAAGGAACTCAACTTGTCAACTTCTAGAACAGTCTACTTTGCCCTTTTCGAATCACATCTTCGATACGCCCTTCCATTCTGGGGTTCGTGCTGTGCGACTCAATTTGACCGTATTTTTAAATTACAAAAGAGAGCTATTAGATATTCCCTAAAATTAAAAAATAGAGCTCATTGCCAAGATTTTTTCAAAAAATATAAAATATTAACACTTCCTTCCCTTTTCATACTAGAATCAGTCTGCCTTATCCGCAAACACCTACCCAGTATTTCAGAAAGGCCATTGCATAACTATCCACTTAGAAACGCGGAGCATGATCTTTATCTGCCAACTCCATCCTCCGAGTTAATTAAGAGCTCCATTCTATACAACGCAAAAAAAATGCACAATCATCTGCCAGTAGTCATCAAGTCCATAGCATCTCTTCCTAAATTTCGCATAGCTCTAAAATCCTATTTATCAGAGAGAGCCTTATATAAAGTAAATGACTTTTTTCTGACTTAATTTTGAGCGTTCCACACACTGGATCATAGTTTATAGGTAATTTGTTCATTTTTGTATTTGTTCATGTTATATTTGTTTATGTTTATATCATTTTATTTTGACTTTGTATACATGTAGATGTATATAATATGTATTTTTAACTTTAAGGCTTAGTCTACAAATTATGTTATAATTTTTTTGACAATAAAGCATTATTATTATTATTATTAACAATGGCAGACACGCGTCTTAAGAGACTAGCCCAGAGCCCAGCTTCTTCTCTAGTCTAATCGCTCATTCCCTCGTCTCTTCTTCGGTTTCCGCTACTTTCGTTTCCCCGTGGCGGCGTAGCGTCCTCGCTCTTCCCTAAACCTAAATTTCACGGCTCATCCATGGTTGCAACATTTACCTTTTTTTCTATAGTAGACTATTTTTTAAAAAGTTAGGATTTGAAGAAATAATATTTCAAATAGGTGGTTTTCCTCAACCATTTACAAGATCGTCCGGTGGTAGAACAGAAAAGAATACATGTTTTTTCTGTGACAAAATAAAGTCTAGAGGGCACTAATTGTTTAAAGTTGCAGGAACAAAACTATTTGACGCTGTAAACCAAAGCAACAATGAGCAATGAAGTCAGATTATCAGCATGCATAGACACAAGGGATGCCCCGGCATATGAAATTTCCTATCACAAAGAATGCTATACAAAGAATGTTGTAAATTCCTCACGGCCAGGTAAAATTGTAAACAATAAAGCTACTATAATAGATAATGTATGTAAAATAGATTTCCTCAACTCTCTCTC